GAGCTTTGAGAGGCAGTTCTATGGTTGTGCCAGAGGTGTTTCAGCTCGTTGCGGTTTCTTCGGGTGGGCTGATAGTCCCTCATATTACACTAACAGTAGTCATGCCAACAGTTATGTGAATCTGATGTTTCCTCCGTCTGACAGTGCAGATGAGGACCGACGTAGCCAGAGTCTGAAGTTAAATATTTTAATATTTCTCCTTGTTGTCGTACTTGTATTTGTACTTTTTTTAGTCCTCCTGGTACTCATTAGGGTGTGAGAACTATATAGTATCTTTTAGAACTGATCTGTGATTATCGTATGTTTCTGCACTATATGTTTCTTTTTTATCAATAAGTTATTCTGAATAAACTGCCCCGAACAGTTTTATCAGACGGGCAGGAATGTCATTTAACAACCAATAAGCTAGTTTGAATAAGCTACCCCAAACAACAAACCAGATTATTCTGATAATCTGCAGATTATCAGATTATCAGAATTATCAGAATATTCTGCTTATCAGCAAATAATCCACAGCTGCGCCAAACAGACCTAAATCAAGATGCAACACAAATCTTATGATTCTATTTGCATCTAGTCAATCATCAACTATGAAGCACAGATACAGACACGAGGATATGAACAGAGCACGATACGATACGATGAGACGACATAATTGCAAACAATAGGCCACAATACGCATGGAACAAGTTTTTTTTCTATTTAATAAATTATTAATACAAATATATATTTCTAATAAGTTTTATTAAAGACAAAAAACAAAATATGCAATCTTTAAAGAAACTTTAAAACTGTCCGTCTTAATTCTTAAACAAAAGAAATTTTATGATGAACATTTTCGATTTACTAAAAATGTTATAGTAGAAAAAGTATACCCAATTACCACAAAGCAGAAAAAACATACCGAATTAATAAAAAAATCAACTTAAAACAAATTAAAGGAAAAAAGCACACCTTCACTCATCGAGAGCTATTTCTTTGGACAAAGTGCTGCTTTATGGGATTACTTTGCTTAGATATTCGCTCTGTTTGATAATTATAGAGGTAGGAACACTCGGAACGAACCTCTGGATAGCATTGACGACATGATTGCTTCGCTTAGGGTATCTCGACAACATCATTGACTACTTCGACCTCACTATTCAATGATGTCACCAAAATAGAAGCAACTTACAAATTTCTGCTTTAACATAAGGCAACAATGATGACCGAGCACTACTCGAGAATGCTGCGGCTTCGATTTTGAGTTGTCGCTTGACCCTCTGCTTCGAATTAGAGCTAAGACAAGCGCATGTTTAAGTTTTCATGTCATGCTCCCACTTGATGCTGCATCAAGCGGTGTCCCCAACGATGTCGACTCAAGTAAGGAGCTGAAAAATTTATAGCTGTGTCGAATATGTATCGACCCATGTTGGAGCCGTGCTCGTGTCTGACACATGTCTGACATTAGTACAACAACTAAGGTGTCGATGTTCTCAGCACGGACACATGGTCTAAGACACTTAAAGCAATCAAATGTCGATGCTTCACAGCACGGTGACATAGTCTAAGACACTTAAAGCAATTTGACACAAAATGACTTAGATTTAGAGTTCCTATTACAATTAGTAATGATATACATTTTAATTAAATGCAAAGAAAATCTAGTACTTCATTAGGTCACCAAATATTTCAACTATTTGCCTTATATAACTATAAATTGACAATGTATAAATTAAAACCTGATTGGTGATGCAATGATTGAAATAATTTGAGAAAATTATTTAAAACTGAAAATTGAAGTTGTGGAAATTTAACTTCAATATCAAACTAGGTAAATGAAATAAGAACAAGCACATGAATACTAGAGCAAGAAAAAATAAGGAGCATGCCAGTACAAAGGGACAATTTCTGCCGACAAAATCAGAAATTTTATAGTCGCATGTATGTTGCGCTCAAAGTTATCACACTTTCACTCATAAAATTGAAACTAGAAAAAATATATTGAATCCAAAAACTTCAACTGCACGTCTCATGTCATCTATATTTATAATCATAGAACTCTTCTGCAATAACAAAAACACCCAGTTAATCTATCATAAACAGTTTAAAAGATCACATGAAGGTTTTCTACTGCAATATCACATGCAATGAACCTCTAAAGTCACAAGAAGAACCCGCTATTCTAATGATGCGCATAATTTAATCCAAAATTGCACTCCAAAATGCATCCATTTGATAATCTATGGGGCTATTTGGTCTGAAATAACAAGGAGTGCAATGAGAAAGGAATGCAGAGAATTTGAAAATTCTAGTGTACCGTTGGAAGAAAAATAAATGCAGGCAAAATTTTAATGCATTTGGAATTCACTCTTTAGTTCAATTTCAATGAATTTCCAATTTGTTAGATTAGGGCGAACTCCAAATACACTGCTTGTGTAAAGTGTTAGCCGGTGCCATCGATTATCGCCACCCATCATGCCATTACCACCTTCGCTAGCCATTGCCAGTCCCACTCGCTGCCGTAGCAGCTGCCTACCACTCTTCTCCAAGACTCCAAACGCCACTCACCCTCCTCCAATCATTGTCGCCACAAAATACAAATCCCGCTCGTTGTCACTGTTGGATGCAGGCCATCACCTGCCTGATGCCGCCAAGTGTATATTTATTTCATTTTTTTTTCAAATTATACTATAATATAAAGTCTTTCATTTTTTACATCAAAGCAAACAACTTCAAAAAATTCACATAGTATAATATAAAGTCGTGCATTTTTTACATCAAAGCAAACAACTTCAAAAAATTTCAATTACATCGCATCTCTTTTGCGTAACATTCTCTTTTCAACAAACCAAACACTCCTAGGAGTAGATCCACTTATAACTAAAGAAACAAAATAGTAATGCCATAACCAGGCCAAAATTGAAGCAAGAAAAAAAAAGAAGAAATCAATAATCCAAAACAATTACTCATAAATGAATCTAGCTCACTATATTAAATTGTTAGTTAAATCAAACCAAACAAACAACTGACAAGAAAAAATATTAAATTAGCAAACCAATAATAAAACTAAATAACCTTTTCCAGGAAATTTATTTATTTTCTTGATTTTTGAGATAAGTGTAAAATTAAATATACCTCCATCATAATTTATGTAGTAGCACAAACCTCTGTACACTAATAGTCAATACAAGCATTAAGATGACTTGGTAATTATATTACAGAACTAGCAAAATAATCAGTCAAGTTTTGTTTTTCATACTAAAACTGTAATACCAGCAATTATATCAAAATGCAGCGTGCAAAGGGATTTGCTGATTTGAAGCACATTTCGCTCACCGCAAACTTAAATTCGAACATGCAAAAACCTACATACATCAATGTAATTTAAAAACTAAATAGTATATACCTTAACTCAAATACAAACTAAAACTACCTGAATATAGAAGCTACATCACAAAAAATATTAATGGTGAGCAGAATAGTATTTAAGAGAATCAACAAAATCAACATAAGCAGTTGGCCATCGAGTTGGCAATCAAATAGCACAGTCAAAATGTTAGGTTCGTCATCTATTGTATATCCAGGCCATTTAATTTGTCAGAGTAAAATACGAGGTACTAGGTGCTCAATAAATTAAAGGAGAACTCATTAGATAACAATTCCAAATTAGAACAATACTGTAGAAAGACGGTTGTCTTTGTTGCCTAAAAGGAAGTCAGGCAACCCTGGGGTCCACAGTTCAAAGCTTCCCCCACTCCAGGGCGAATCCAATTTCAAACAAATTTAATTTAACTTTACCCTTTACTTTTGTTCCGCAGTTCATAGATTTTAAAAATCTATAACCCTATTGAAAAACACAAATCTTTTCTTTTTTATATTGGGGGTGGGGGGCTTCTAATCCCCTATTTTTCTCTGTACCTTTTACTTTTAGATCTTACTTATTTGTGAAGCTCCTTTCTCATCCTTCTACGCATTCATTTGTACATAGAATTTTCGGGCTCGCACTCCCTTCATTTTTTCCAGTCAACATAAGCAGTGGCTAATTTCACCTAGTAAACAGTTCAGAACAAGACAAATTCGATCAATTCATCCTACTCTAGTTTATAAAAATGTGCACAAAGTTTATTTAAAATTAACATTGCATTAGGACAAAGTAAATCGGCTTGACTAGCATTTCTACCTTAAGCAAAAGAAATTTCAAGAAATGAAGAAAAACTAACAAATCAAGGGTTGAATTGAGAACAATTGAAGCTGAAGGAATGGTGAAATTGATTTAAAAATGCCTCAATTTGTGAGTTTACATGTTATAACTAGAATCCTATAATCAAACGCCTTCTTTTCCCAATTTATCAAAGAAACAGCTAAAAGTTCACCAAACCCAATGGCTTTTTTAATGTGAAGTGCACACATCAATGCTTCAAAATATAGTTCAAAGAGTACATCACGTCAATGTAATCTTAATGGTTGAAATTCACAAGCTTTCAACAACGGAGAATACGATAGAACTATTATCATAGAATGTGTATGTGCATGTTGGAAAAGATGGAATAAAGACTCAAAACCAAAGCTGAAAAATTTTTCAAGCAGTCATTTTAAAAGTCACAAACCTGAAGTCTTCATATAAAATTAACTGCAGCAACGATCGAAGAAAATGACTTGAAATATTCTCTTGCAGCCTGTCATTTAAATCCACTATACGTTCAGCTAACCCTTCCCTGCCAGCAGCTTTCTCTCGGTATATATAGGAAGCAAGGGCATTAATTGCTCTCAAGCACATATCAACTGCATCAACGTCCTGCACAAGAAAAAAATAAATTCAATATGCATACAACTAATTTAATTTACAGGGAGCAAACATAGGAGTAGCATCAAGTCAAGATGGGATAGAACAGAGTTAAGTGTAGAGAAGCAGTAATCAAGCAAGTCTTATAAGGAGATGGAGCAAATGAGATCATGTAGTTGGTAGTATTAATTGTTGATGATACCACTTAAGTGGAATGCGGTCTCATTTTTTTGCCATTCACGTGTTATGAGATATGGTCAAGATTTTGTATTGAGTTATATGTTGAATCATATATTTTGCACTATAAAAGAAATCAAAAAAATTACTTTCAATGTTTATAATACAGTTGCTAAAATCTGGGAAATTGTTATTTTGACTATTGATGAATCGTTAAGCCTATACTTAACAATGTTGTTGAATTGGACAGTTAAATTTTAGGAAATTATATTCTTAAAGTAAGATCCTCAAAAAAATTTAGATTTTATTCTATGCTTAATACAATTCAAGATTTCGTTTAAAACATGCATATTATTTAATAGAAATTCTTGCAAGTCTTCAGAAAAGTTCCAAGAGAAACTTCTTATATCGGCGTGAAACATGAATCTTCTATTTGGCAACTTTTAGCAGTTTATTTTTCTTTTATCAACATACTTTGTGAATGCATTGCCATGTAAAGTTGAGATTTAGCCATGTATGTTACAATCCAGTTATCAGTTACACGATATGGATCCTAATTATTATATGGGTTTGTTTCATTCTCAATTTTCCTACAAAATTTCAAACTTTAATTTTTAAACTATTATTTGGAGCAAATTTTACTTGTCTTTTGAATTACATAACTTGACCTAAATTAATAGTTGATGAACTTGAATTATGGTCATCTATGTGCTTATTTTGTGCATCTAATCCTAAGTTCATATTATATACAGTAGACCTTAAAATACCTCACACCAGTAGTATACCACCCTTATCTGTACTCTGCTTGTTCTCTCTCAGTTCATATATTTAGGCCCTGCATGGAATCAATCTTAGTTTCCAATTTTATTGTTGTTATTTTCAAAAAACAGAAAATGTTTGTTTCCTATTTTTTTAATTTTGTTTTTAAACAAATTCAATTTTTTTTTCAAAAACATAAAAAAAAACTTAAAGCTTTTTTTGTGTTTTTAAAACAACTCCTCACCCAAACCCGACCCTGATGCCAACATCAATGTCTTTTTTGCCAGTGATACTGGAGTTAACTCACACCACGACACAAGCATGAATTTGTTAAAAATTAAAAAGACGGTTATAGCAATGACTCAAAAAAAAGAAAGATACTACATAAATCAGAACATAAAACAAAGCATTACAAACAAAGACCCAACAAGCAAAGACACAATAAGCTCGACGAGGAGGAAGTCCAGAAAAATGGGGTTGGAGCGGCTGCTGCGGTGAAGGCCAGAGTGATGTCGAGAGACTAGGGACGAGCGGGGCAGCAAGTAATCACTTGTTGAAGCGTCTAACTGCAGCTAGAAAAGGCGAGAAACGTCGTCAAAGGCTAGAATCCAGGGGCGGACACAGGAGCGAACACAAGAGTGGCAGCCAAAGATGAGGAATAGAGGCAAGAACGACGGCCAAAGCCGAGGCACAGATAGTGGCCGAAATTGAGGAGCGAAGGCATGTCTAGCAATCAAAAACCAAGGAATGAGAGTGTTGCGGCCCGTCGGAAGCTGCAGAAGAGATCCGGAGGAAACAACAGAAGGCTGCAGTCAGCTGGACGCGGCTCTCGAAGGGGGGGGGG